AAAAGTTGCCATGTCTTAAAAAGTGCAATAGTAAATATTTGGACTGTGCAAGTCATTATTTCATGCATTAAATGAAACAGGGGGTTGTTTAAAACCTTACTGCTTCAAAACTGACTCCCTCAGCTTCATGAAGAGCCTCTTCCCTTTGTATCGGCAGGAAGGCGTGTCATTCACGACGTTTCGTTTGCTTCTGGTTGGCATGAAAATCAGATTTTCTTAACCTCTTCTTGTCACGTACAAAGGAATTATGCCTTGTATGGTGACCAGCAGGTATGGAAAGTCCCTCCATAATCCTTTCTCTGCTTGCAGCACCACTACGGAAATGGCAAAAAGCTGAAGCAACAGTACAGTGAACAGTGTGGACGCTGTGAGGTTTATGCTTTGGACATCAAGCCGATACGGGTTGATACCAGGGGTTCAGGCATTCATTTGGGTTTTGACGTTGTGCCATGTACCCATCTCTCATGCAACTTTGTATCACTCACTCAGTTTACAAAAGTTGGCTTCAGCTCTTCTTGTTTACCTAAAGGTTCAAGGCAAAATCTTATTAGTTGAGGTGTAGATTCGACATAGCAGCCCAAGGCATATATCAAAGGTGCACATGATTTGTATAATAAATAAACAAAGCAAAAATAGCTGATAAAACTTACAGTATGTAAGAATTTCATTTTATCACTTATACAATGCCAAGATAACAAACAAATATAATATTTGGGTGATAGGGCAAACTGGCAAAGCCAATTTAAAAACAAATCATCGCTAATACCTTCATCGCAAACATGAATTTCAGAGAATACAGAGGCTGAATGTTTTATATTTCTCAACCTATATCCATCTTCATCATTGCCAGGCAGACCTGGAAAGACATCAGCCAACTCTGTAGCTCTAGCATCGTTTTGTAATTTCATCGTCTTCCCCAAAGAGCTATTCACATTTATACACACGCAGGTTCATTATCACGATGTCTCAGCCATCTCCTCGATGCTTTGCTCTCCTCTTTCGCTTTATTGTTGCCCTTTGTATCCCAGAGAAACCTTTTCCTTTCCTAGTCATCTTTATATAGTGTTTTTTCCTTTCTACCCAACCATATTCAACTAAAATATGGCTTTTTCCTCAACACAAGCACAGAACTACACAAATTTTCTAATTTTGTCACGCACAAAACTTTAAATCAAACCTTTTTGTCAGCGGTTCGATGCTTTGTGACGGATAGACTTTATGTTAGCTTTCTATGATGGCATACTCTCATCTCCAGGGAAACTGGGCTCAGTTTTGACGAAGAAAACAAGGTAACAACAAAAAATGCTACCTCACGTTTCCATAGCAACCAGATAATTTTAAATGGCGAGTCTTTTAAAAGCCAGATTAAACACGGAAAAAATTCAAATGAAAGCAAACAACATGTGCCTATGCTAAATCTAATGTTTGAAGTACCTTTTTCTCTTAAAAAAATTTTTTTCAAAAATTTTCAAATTTTGGGTTAACCCCCGCCTTAACACAGTTTTAGAAGTTGAAGACATGGATTTTATGGTTGGGAAGAGTTCTCCTGAACCCAGTTTGAAGTTGCACTTGGTGCGGCTTGAAATGCAGCCGTTGTATCAAGACGTAAAAATCTGTGATTTGGCGTTGTCAACAGAGCGAGGACAATGTCTAAATTATTCATATATTGTAATTTTTCAATTATTTTCAATGATCTATTGTATTGGTAGCCGTTGCCGTCGCGTTGCCGTCCTAAAATCGTAAGGCCTCTAGTATCGAATACGAGAGACCGTCTAAATCATCGTCGTCGAGTTCACATGAATTTCTTCCAATTATGTGATTTGTGTCGTCAACGGCCAGGTAGTAGCAGTATTTATTACAGCGAGAGAAAGCTTGCAACAAGACGGATTAGAATGTGAAGTATACATCGCTTCGTTACCACCACCGCTTTAATTGGAAGATTAATTATTAAACAACGTGGACAAAGTTATGATGCTTTCTATACAGAACAGGCTTTCTACAAGGTAAATTAAATAAAACAGTGTACAGTTATTCTTTGATGATAAGTTTAAGACAAATAGAACCAAGTCAATTTTAAGACAAATAGAACTAGTTTGGGGCATCTATACAAAAAGGGACGATCAGTGCTCTCCAGTACAATTTAGAGCAGGCAGTGGCGGCGCCAGGGGGGAGGGGGGGCAAGGGGGGGCAAATGCCCCCCAATATTATTTTTTGCCCCCCCCCCATTTTGCACCCCTCAAAAAAAATTATTAGTCACTAAGAGCGACTAAAGGCTACACAAGCGTTTTGTCGTTATCGGAAAATGTATGGCTTATAAGTTGTCATTACTCATTAGTGAATGCGTGTATACATGAAACTGTTTTTTACAGTTTCAATATTAGTTTG